GCCTGAGCTAAAGGGCCAGCACCACTGGGCGCTGCACCTAAGGAACTGGGATCAAAGGGAAAGAGCAGACCTTAGTTGTGAAGGGTGCTTAGGGTGCAGAGGATTTGCTTAGAGAAGAGAAATTAACTCCGAAGTAGAATGGGACCTTAACCATCACAACCGCTGACTGGAGTTGTCTCTGGGGCTGAGAGGTCGCAGTCAGAGCTTTAGGTCAGGGATCAGGCTGGTGTTCCTTTCTCCAGGGAAAGGGTGTGACTCTCACATGAGCTATTGCCTTAAAGGGTGAAAGTCCCCTTTGTTCTCATAATCCGAGTGCTTGGCTGGGACTGAACACACACACACACACCCCACCCCACCCGCAATGCCACCTAAACCCTTCATCAGCCACTATCGCTAGACCAAACTGGGGCCAGGCCCGTGTACAAGTAGCATGAAAAGATGTTTAGCAATCACGCATGAGTCATAACAGCAGAGGTTGAAAACCCCCTCTAGTTCCACTCCCAGCTCCTTCGGTTGGTGACCAGCCCCCACATACATCCCACAGCATGTTTTTTCTGCAAGTGCTTTGTAAATGACACATCCCAGCCTGTGAAAGATCCCTATGTTTCTGCAACCAATATCAGCACTTGTCAGGACATTCCCCCTCCTGCAGTCATGCCTTGAGCACCATACTGCACAGCAAGCATGTAATTTTTACAAGCAATTTGTAAACAAGATGTTTTCACGGAACCGGAAAGATGCCTTCCTTTTCACTGGCAGTGCTGGTTAGGAATTGAATCCAGTGCAACCTGTAGTGAAAGCCAACTCATGGGCCAAGCAGTGGGCTGCCTTCTCTTTGTTGGGGAATGACATTGGTAAATTAGGCATCAAGCCCCAGGTCCTTGATTGCAGTGGGAGTCCTAAATACCTATGAGAATCTGGGCCTAAGTTATTCTGGAGAGAAATGTAAAGGTGCCATCCTTCTAACATTGCCCATGACGGTTGGTTTGGGACCCCAAATATCCTATTAAAGTCTCACCTTGATAATGTCCACTAATGAAGCCAATGTGGTGCCTGGCTTTCTCTGGGAAGGAATTTGCACATTAAGCAAGAGGAATACCTCCAAAACTGAACACCACCTGATGTGTCATAACCATTGCCCAGGTAGGATGTCTCTCACACATCCCCTCAGACCGAAACACGCACTGCTTTTTCTCTCAGTGATAGGAACTTGTGATTCACCCACAAGCTGTTGCCTCAGAGATCAAAGATATCTTTGTTTTCACAACCAATCTGAGGGCCCATCACATATTGAAATCAGCAGAACTGCTTCCCATCATCACCAGCTATAGGATGTGTTATTTTGGGTGCGTGCTACTACAATGAATTGGTAAGTCACACAGTACAAGTCAGCATGAAACACAGGGTATGTCTACACTACGGAATAAGGTCGAATTTATAGAAGTCGGTTTTTTAGAAATCGGTTTTATATATTCGAGTGTGTGTGTCCCCACAGAAAATGCTCTAAGTGCATTAAGTGCATTAACTCGGCGGAGCGCTTCCACAGTACCGAGGCTAGAGTCGACTTCCGGAGCGTTGCACTGTGGGTAGCTATCCCACAGTTCCCGCAGTCTCCGCTGCCCATTGGAATTCTGGGTGGAGATCCCAATGCCTGATGGGGCTAAAACATTGTCGCGGGTGGTTCTGGGTACATATCGTCAGGCCCCCGTTCCCTCCCTCCGTCCATGAAAGCAAGGGCAGACAATCATTTCGCACCTTTTTTCCTGAGTTACCTGTGCAGACGCCATACCACGGCAAGCATGGAGCCCGCTCAGGTAACCGTCACCCTATGTCTCCTGGGTGCTGGCAGACGCGGTACGGCATTGCTACACAGTAGCAGCAACCCCTTGCCTTCTGGCAGCAGACGGTACAGTACGACTGCTAGCCGTCATCGTCATGTCTGAGGTGCTCCTGGTCGCCTCTGTGAGGTCGATCAGGAGCACCTGGGCAGAAATGGGCGCAGGGACTAAATTTGGAGTGACTTGACCAGGTCATTCTCTTTAGTCCTGCAGTCAGTCCTATTGAACCGTCTTATGGTGAGCGGGCAGGCGATACGGACTGCTAGCAGTCGTACTGTACCATCTTCTGCCGAGCAGCCATGAGATGTGGATGGCATGCAGTCCTTCTGCACCGTCTGCTGCCAGCCAAAGATGTAAAAGATAGATGGAGTGGATCAAAACAAGAAATAGACCAGATTTGTTTTGTACTCATTTGCCTCCTCCCCTGTCTAGGGGACTCATTCTTCTAGATCACACTGCAGTCACTTACAGAGAAGGTGCAGCGAGGTAAATCTAGCCATGTATCAATCAGAGGCCAGGCTAACCTTCTTGTTCCAATAAGGACAATAACTTAGGTGCACCATTTCTTATTGGAACCCTCCGTGAAGTCCTGCCTGAAATACTCCTTGATATAAAGCCACCCCCTTTGTTGATTTTAGCTCCTTGAAGCCAACCCTGTAAGCGCCCCTCCCAGCGTCAGAGCAATGGCAAACAATCGGGCATCTGAGAGTGCTGTCCAGAGCAGTCACAATGGAGCACTCTGATGGGGCTAAAACATTGTCGCGGGTGGTTCTGGGTACGTGTCGTCAGGCCCCCCTTCCCTCCCTCCCTCCGTGAAAGCAAGGGCAGACAATCATTTCGCGCCTTTTTTCCTGAGTTACCTGTGCAGACGCCATACCACGGCAAGCATGGAGCCCGCTCAGGTAACCGTCACCCTATGTCTCCTAGGTGCTGGCAGACGCGGTACGGCTTTGCTGCACAGTAGCAGCAACCCATTGCCTTCTGGCAGCAGACGGTGCAATACGATTGGTAGTCGTCCTCGTCGTGTCAGAGGTGCTCCTGGCCACGTCGGCTGGGAGCGCCTGGGCAGACATGGGCGCAGGGACTAAATTTGGAGTGACTTGACCAGGTCATTCTCTTTAGTCCTGCAGTCAGTCCTATTGAACCGTCTTATGGTGAGCGGGCAGGCGATACGGACTGCTAGCAGTCGTACTGTACTCCCACTAGGTTGCTAGCAGTCGTATTGTACCATCTTATGCCAGGCAGGCAAGAGATGAAGATGGTAGTCGTCTGTACCATCTTCTGCCGAGCAGCCATGAGATGTGGATGGCATGCAGTCCTTCTGCACCGTCTGCTGCCAGCCAAAGATGTAAAAGATAGATGGAGTGGGTCAGAACAAGAAATAGACCAGATTTGTTTTGTACTCATTTGCCTCCTCCCCTATCTAGGGGACTCATTCCTCTAGATCACACTGCAGTCACTCACAGAGAAGGTGCAGCGAGGTAAATCTAGCCATGTATAAATCAGAGGCCAGGCTAACCTCCTTGTTCCAATAAGAACAATAACTTAGGTGCACCATTTCTTATTGGAACCCTCCGTGCAGTCCTGCCTGAAATACTCCTTGATGTACAGGCACCCCCTTTGTTGATTTTAGCTCCCTGAAGCCAACCCTGTAAGCCGTGTCGTCAGTCGCCCCTCCCTCCATCAGAGCAACGGCAGACAATCGTTCCCCGCCTTTTTTCTGTGCGGACGCCATACCAAGGCAAGCATGGAGGCCGCTCAGCTCACTTTGGCAATTAGGAACACATTAAACACCACACGCATTATCCAGCAGTATATGCAGCACCAGAACCTGGCAATGCGATACCGGGCGAGGAGGCGACGTCAGCGCGGTCACGTGAGTGATCAGGACATGGACACAGATTTCTCTGAAAGCATGGGCCCTGCCAATGCATGCATCATGGTGCTAATGGGGCAGGTTCATGCTGTGGAACGCCGATTCTGGGCTCGGGAAACAAGCACAGACTGGTGGGACTGCATAGTGTTGCAGGTCTGGGACAATTCCCAGTGGCTGCGAAACTTTCGCATGCGTAAGGGCACTTTCATGGAACTTTGTGACTTGCTTTCCCCTGCCCTGAAGCGCATGAATACCAAGATGAGAGCAGCCCTCACAGTTGAGAAGCGAGTGGCGAGAGCCCTGTGGAAGCTTGCAACGCCAGACAGCTACCGGTCAGTTGGGAATCAATTTGGAGTGGGCAAATCTACTGTGGGGGCTGCTGTGATGTAAGTAGCCCACGCAATCAAAGATCTGCTGATATCAAGGGTAGTGACCCTAGGAAACGTGCAGGTCATAGTGGATGGCTTTGCTGCAATGGGATTCCCTAACTGTGGTGGGGCTATAGACGGAACCCATATCCCTATCTTGGCACCGGAGCACCAAGCCGACGAGTACATAAACCGCAAGGGGTACTTTTCGATAGTGCTGCAAGCTCTGGTGGATCACAGGGGACGTTTCACCAACATCAACATGGGATGGCCGGGAAAGGTGCATGATGCTCGCATCTTCAGGAACTCTGGTCTGTTTCAAAAGCTGCAGGAAGGGACTTTATTTCCAGACCAGAAAATAACTGTTGGGGATGTTGAAATGCCTATATGTATCCTTGGGGACCCAGCCTACCCCTTAATGCCATGGCTCATGAAGCCGTACACAGGCAGCCTGCACAGTAGTCAGGAGCTGTTCAACTACAGGCTGAGCAAGTGCAGAATGGTGGTAGAATGTGCATTTGGACGTTTAAAGGCGCGCTGGCGCAGTTTACTGACTCGCTTAGACCTCAGCGAAACCAATATTCCCACTGTTATTACTGCTTGCTGTGTGCTCCACAATATCTGTGAGAGTAAGGGGGAGACGTTTATGGTGGGGTGGGAGGTTGAGGCAAATCGCCTGGCTGCTGGTTACACGCAGCCAGACACCAGGGCGGTTAGAAGAGCACAGGAGGGCGCGGTACACATCAGAGAAGCTTTGAAAACCAGTTTCATGACTGGCCAGGCTACGTTGTGAAAGTTCTGTTTGTTTCTCCTTGATGAAACCCCCCGCCCCTTGGTTCACTCTACTTCCCTGTAAGCTAACCACCCTCCCCTCCTCCCTTCGATCACCGCTTGCAGAGGCAACAAAGTCATTGTTGCTTCACGTTCATGCATTCTTTATTAATTCATCACACAAATAGGGGGATGACTACCAAGGTAGCCCAGGAGGGGTGGTGGAGGAGGGAAGGAAAATGCCACGCAGCACTTTAAAAGTTTACAACTTTAAAATTTATTGAATGCCAGCCTTCTTTTGTTTGGGCAATCCTCTGTGGTGGAGTGGCTGGTTGGCCGGTGGCCCCCCCACCGCGTTCTTGGGCGTCTGGGTGTGGAGGCTTTGGAACTTGGGGAGGAGGGCGGTTGGTTACACAGGGGCTGTAGCGACAGTCTGTGCTCCAGCTGCCTTTGCTGCAGCTCAACCATACACTGGAGCATACTGGTTTGGTCCTGCAGCAGCCTCAGCATTGAATCCTGCCTCCTCTCATCACGCTGCCGCCACATTTGAGCTTCAGCCCGCCACTTACTCTCTTCAGCCCGCCACCTCTCCTCCCGGTCATTTTGTGCTTTCCTGCACTCTGACATTATTTGCCTCCACGCATTCGTCTGTGCTCTGTCACTGTGGGAGGACAGCATGAGCTCTGAGAACATTTCATCGCGAGTGCGTTTTTTTTTCTTTCTAAGCTTCACTAGCCTCTGGGAAGGAGAAGATCCTGTGATCACTGAAACACATGCAGCTGGTGGAGAAAAAAAAAGGGACAGCGGTATTTAAAAAGACACATTTTATAAAACAGTGGCTACACTCTTTCAGGGTAAACCTTGCTGTTAACATTACATACATAGCACATGTGCTTTCGTTACAAGGTCGCATTTTGCCTCCTACCACCGCGTGACTACCCCCTCAACCTTCCCCCCTCCCTGTGGCCAACAGCGGGGAACATTTCTGTTTAGCCACAGGCAAACAGCCCAGCAGGAATGGGCTCCTCTGAGTGTCCCCTGAAGAAAAGCACTCTATTTCAACCAGGTGACCATGAATTATATCTCACTCTCCTGAGGATAACACAGAGAGATAAAGAACGGATAAGAGATAAAGAGATAAAGTGTTGTTTGAATGCCAGCAAACATACACTGCAATGCTTTGTTCTACAGTGATTCCCGAGTACGTGTTACTGGCCTGGAGTGGTAAAGTGTCCTACCATGAAGGACGCAATAAGGCTGCCCTCCCCAGAAACCTTTTGCAAAGGCTTTAGGACTACATCTAGGAGAACCACAAATGCCAGGGCAAAGTAATCCTTTCACATGCTTGCTTTTAAACCATGTATAGTATTTTAAAAGGTACACTCACCAGAGGTCCCTTCTCCGCCTGCTGGGTCCAGGAGGCAGCCTTGGGTGAGTTCGGGGGGTACTGGCTCCAAGTCTAGGGTGAGAAACAGTTCCTGGCTGTCGGGAAAACCGGTTTCTCCGCTTGCTTGCTGTGAGCTATCTACAACCTCCTCCTCCTCATCATCTTCTTCGTCCCCAAAACCTGCTTCCATATTGCCTCCATCTCCATTGAAGGAGTCAAACAACACGGCTTGGGTAGTGGTGGCTGAACCCCCTAAAATGGCATGCAGCTCATCATAGAAGCGGCATGTTTGGGGCTCTGACCCAGAGCGGCTGTTCGCCTCTCTGGTTTTCTGGTAGGCTTGCCTCAGCTCCTTCAGTTTCACGCGGCACTGCTTCGGGTCCCTGTTATGGCCTCTGTCCTTCATGCCCTGGGAGATTTTCACAAAGGTTTTGGCATTTCAAAAACTGGAACGCAGTTCTGATAGCACGGATTCCTCTCCCCAAACAGCGATCAGATCCCGTACCTCCCGTTCGGTCCATACAGGAGCTCTTTTGGGATTCTGGGACTCCATCATGGTCACCTCTGCTGATGAGCTCTGCATGGTCACCTGCAGCTTGCCACGCTGGCCAAACAGGAAATGAGATTCAAAAGTTCGCGGTTCTTTTCCTGTCTACCTGGCCAGTGCATCTGAGTTGAGAGTGCTGTCCAGAGCGGTCAGAATGGAGCACTCTGGGATAGCTCCCGGAGGCCAATACCGTCTAATTGTGTCCACAGTACCCCAAATTCGAGCCGGCAACGTCGATTTAAGCGCTAATCCACTTGTCAGGGGTGGAGTAAGGAAATCGATTTTAATAGCCCTTTAAGTCGAAATAAAGGGCTTCATTGTGTGGACGGGTGCAGGTTTACATCGATTTAACGCTGCTAAATTCGACCTAAAGTCCTAGTGTAGACCAGGGCACAGTCATCTTTATTTTCCTCACCAGCACAAGAGCTCATCAGGGACTGAACCTATGTTCTGTGCCCAAAGCACAGCTGTACCCTATCAAGCCAGCTGCGGGGTTAGTTTTTGTTTTTCTGGGAAAGGAATTTTTAAATTAGCTATGAAGTCTTTTTTATTTATTTATGGTGGGTTTTTTGTCAGCAATGTGAAGGGACCTTAGATTTCACACCACTGTGAAGCATGGCTTTGCTTGGATTTACATCCAGGGCTTCTGAAATCTTAAAGAACAGTCATTTGACTAAGAAGCCAGTCGAGTTTGCTTGTCTCTCAGGGTATGTCTACACTATGGAATAAGGTCGAATTTATAGAAGTCGGTTTTTTAGAAATCGGTTTTATATATTCGAGTGTGTGTGTCCCCACAGAAAATGCTCTAAGTGCATTAACTTGGTGGAGTGCTTCCGCAGTACCAAGCCTAGAGTCGACTTCCGGAGCGTTGCACTGTGGGTAGCTATCCCAGAGTTCCCACAGTCTCTGCTGCCCACTGGAATTCTGGGTTGAGATCGCAGTGCCTGATGGGGCTAAAACATTGTCGCGGGTGGTTCTGGGTACATATCGTCAGGCCCCCGTTCCCTCCCTCCCTCCGTGAAAGCAAGGGCAGACAATAGTTTCGCGCTGTTTTTCCTGAGTTACCTGTGCAGACGCCATACCACGGCAAGCATGGAGCCCGCTCAGGTAACCGTCACCCTATGTCTCCTGTGTGCTGGCAGACGCGGTACGGCATTGCTACACAGTAGCAGCAACCCATTGCCTTCTGGCAGCAGACGGTGCAGTACGACTGGTAGCCGTCATCGTCATGTCCAAGGTGCTCCTGGCCACGTCGGCTGGGAGCGCCAGGGCAGACATGGGCGCAGGGACTAAATTTGGAGTGACTTGACCAGGTCATTCTCTTTAGTCCTGCAGTCAGTCCTATTGAACCGTCTTATGGTGAGCAGGCAGGCGATACGGATTGCTAGCAGTCGTACTGTACCATCTTCTGCCGGGCAGGCAAGAGATGAGGATGGCTAGCAGTCGTACTGTACCATCTTCTGCCGAGCAGCCATGGCATGCAGTCCTTCTGCACCGTCTGCTGCCAGCCAAAGATGTAAAAGATAGATGGAGTGGATCAAAACAAGAAATAGACCAGATTTGTTTTGTACTCATTTGCTTCCCCCCCTCTCCTGTCTAGGGGACTCATTCTCTAGATCACACTGCAGTCACTCACAGAGAAGGTGCAGCGAGGTAAATCTAGCCATGTATCAATCAGAGGCCAGGCTAACCTCCTTGTTCCAATAAGAACAATAACTTAGGTGCACCATTTCTTATTGGAACCCTCCGTGAAGTCCTGCCTGAAATACTCCTTGATGTAAACCCACCCCCTTTGTTGATTTTAGCTCCCTGAAGCCAACCCTGTAAGCCGTGTCATCAGTCGCCCCTCCCTCCGTCAGAGCAACGGCAGACAATTATTCCGCGCCTTTTTTCTGTGCGGACGCCATACCAAGGCAAGCATGGAGGCCGCTCAGCTCACTTTGGCAATTAGGAGCACATTAAACACCACACCCATTATCCAGCAGTATATGCAGCACCAGAACCTGGCAACGCGATACCGGGCGAGGAGGCGACGTCAGCGCGGTCACGTGAGTGATCAGGACATGGACACAGATTTCTCTGAAAGCATGGGCCCTGACAATGCATGCATCATGGTGCTAATGGGGCAGGTTCATGCTGTGGAACGCCGATTCTGGGCTCGGGAAACAAGCACAGACTGGTGGGACCGCATAGTGTTGCAGGTCTGGGACGATTCCCAGTGGCTGCGAAACTTTCGCATGCTTAAGGGCACTTTCATGGAACTTTGTGACTTGCTTTCCCCTGCCCTGAGGCGCATGAATACCAAGATGAGAGCAGCCCTCACAGTTGAGAAGTGAGTGGCAATAGCCCTGTGGAAGCTTGCAACGCCAGACAGCTACCGGTCAGTTGGGAATCAATTTGGAGTGGGCAAATCTACTGTTGGGGCTACTGTGATGCAAGTAGCCCACGCAATCAAAGATCTGCTGATATCAAGGGTAGTGACCCTGGGAAATGTGCAGATCATAGTGGATGGCTTTGCTGCAATGGGATTCCCTAACTGTGGTGGGGCTATAGACGGAACCCATATCCCTATCTTGGCACCGGAGCACCAAGCCACCGAGTACATAAACCGCAAGGGGTAGTTTTCAATAGTGCTGCAAGCTCTGGTGGATCACAAGGGACGTTTCACCAACATCAACGTGGGATGGCCGGGAAAGGTACATGACGCTCGCATCTTCAGGAACTCTGGTCTGTTTCAAAAGCTGCAGGAAGGGACTTTATTTCCAGACCAGAAAATAACTGTTGGGGATGTTGAAATGCCTATATGTATCCTTGGGGACCCAGCCTACCCCTTAATGCCATGGCTCATGAAGCCGTACGCAGGCAGCCTGCACAGTAGTCAGGAGCTGTTCAACTACAGGCTGAGCAAGTGCAGAATGGTGGTAGAATGTGCATTTGAATGTTTAAAGGTGTGCTGGCGCAGTTTACTGACTCACTTAGACCTCAGCGAAACCAATATTCCCACTGTTATTACTGCTTGCTGTGCACTCCACAATATCTGTGAGAGTAAGGGGGAGACGTTTATGGCGGGGTGGGAGGTTGAGGCAAATCGCCTGGCTGCTGGTTACGCGCAGCCAGACACCAGGGCAGTTAGAAGAGCACAGGAGGGCGCGGTACGCATCAGAGAAGCTTTGAAAACCAGTTTCATGACTGGCCAGGCTACGGTGTGAAAGTTCTGTTTGTTTCTCCTTGATGAAACCCCCCGCCCCTTGGTTCACTCTACTTCCCTGTAAGCTAACCAGCCTCCCCTCCTCCCTTCGATCACCGCTTGCAGAGGCAATAAAGTCATTGTTGCTTCACGTTCATGCATTCTTTATTAATTCATCACACAAATAGGGGGATGACTACCAAGGTAGCCCAGGAGGGGTGGTGGAGGAGGGAAGGAAAATGCCACGCAGCACTTTAAAAGTTTACAACTTGAAAATTTATTGAATGCCAGCCTTCTTTTGTTTGGGCAATCCTCTGTGGTGGAGTGGCTGGTTGGCCGGTGGCCCCCCCACCGCGTTCTTGGGCGTCTGGGTGTGGAGGCTTTGGAACTTGGGGAGGAGGGCGGTTGGTTACACAGGGGCTGTAGCGACAGTCTGTGCTCCAGCTGCCTTTGCTGCAGCTCAACCATACACTGGAGCATACTGGTTTGGTCCTGCAGCAGCCTCAGCATTGAATCCTGCCTCCTCTCATCACGCTGCCGCCACATTTGAGCTTCAGCCCTCTCTTCAGCCCGCCACCTCGCCTCCCGGTCATTTTGTGCTTTCCTGCACTCTGACATTATTTGCCTCCACGCATTCGTCTGTGCTCTGTCAGTGCGGGAGGACAGCATGAGCTCTGAGAACATTTCATCTCGAGTGCATTTTTTTTTTCTTTCTAAGCTTCACTAGCCTCTGGGAAGGAGAAGATCCTGTGATCATTGAAACACATGCAGCTGGTGGAGAAAAAAAAAGGGACAGCGGTATTTAAAAAGACACATTTTATAAAACAGTGGCTACACTCTTTCAGGGTAAACCTTGCTGTTAACATTACATACATAGCACATGTGCTTTTGTTACAAGGTCGCATTTTGCCTCCCCCCACCGCGTGGCTACCCCCTCAACCCTCTCCCATCCCTGTGGCTAACAGCGGGGAACATTTCTGTTTAGCCACAGGCAAACAGCCCAGCAGGAATGGGCTCCTCTGAGTGTCCCCTGAAGAAAAGCACTCTATTTCAACCAGGTGACCATGAATTATATCTCACTCTCCTGAGGATAACACAGAGAGATAAAGAACGGATGTTGTTTGAACGCCAGCAAACATACACTGCAATGCTTTGTTGTACAATGATTCCCGAGTACGTGTTACTGTCCTGGAGTGGTAAAGTGTCCTACCATGAAGGATGCAATAAGGCTGCCCTCCCCAGAAACCTTTTGCAAAGGCTTTGGGAGTACATCCAGGAGAGCCGCGAATGCCAGGGCAAAGTAATCCTTTCACATGCTTGCTTTTAAACCATGTATAGTATTTTAAAAGGTACACTCACCGGAGGTCCCTTCTCCACCTGCTGGGTCCAGGAGGCAGCCTTGGGTGAGTTCGGGGGGTACTGGCTCCAGGTCTAGGGTGAGAAACAGTTCCTGGCTGTCGGGAAAACCGGTTTCTCCACTTGCTTGCTGTGAGCTATCTACAACCTCATCATCATCATCTTCTTCGTCCCCAAAACCTGCTTCCGTTTTGTCTCCATCTCCATTGAAGGAGTCGAACAACACGGCTGGGGGTAGTGGTGGCTGAACCCCCTAAAATGGCATGCAGCTCATCATAGAAGGGGCATGTTTGGGGCTCTGACCCGGAGCGGCCGTTCGCCTCTCTGGTTTTCTGGTAGGCTTGCCTCAGCTCCTTCAGTTTCACGCGGCACTGCTTCGGGTCCCTGTTATGGCCTCTGTCCTTCATGCCCTGGGAGATTTTCACAAAGGTTTTGGCATTTCGAAAAACTGGAACGGAGTTCTGATAGCACCGATTCCTCTCCCCATACAGCGATCAGATCCCGTACCTCCCATTCAGTCCATACAGGAGCTCTTTTGGGATTCTGGGACTCCATCATGGTCACCTCTGCTGATGAGCTCTGCATGGTCACCTGCAGCTTGCCACGCTGGCCAAACAGGAAATGAGATTCAAAAGTTCGTGGTTCTTTTCCTGTCTACCTGGCCAGTGCATCTGAGTTGAGAGCGCTGTCCAGAGCGGTCACAATGGAGCACTCTGGGATAGCTCCCGGAGGCCAATACCGTCTAATTGTGTCCACAGTACCCCAAATTCGAGCCGGCAAGGCCGATTTAAGTGCTAATCCACTTGTCAGGAGTGGAGTAAGGAAATCGATTTTAAGAGCCCTTTAAGTCGAAATAAAGGGCTTCATCGTGTGGACGGGTGCAGGTTTACATCGATTTAATGCTGCTAAATTCGACCTAAAGTCCTAGTGTAGACCAGAGCTCAGGGAAAGGAATTAGTAAAGTTGGTTTAAGGAACTACATCAAACTCTGCTTCCACCACCACTGGCAGCCCTAAGCATACCACCATACACTTCTCTGGCAGGCTCTGCTACCATACATGCCCTGCCCATTCACACACCAGCAGAATCAGCTGCAGCTGGAGGATCAACACCATGTTAATAAAAACCTGATGACGGGCATGAGAAAGTTAGAAATAGCCTATGAAGGTAAAAGTTAGACCCAGGTGTGGCTCTTCTGCTTCACTTCTAAGTTCTGGAGTTTAGACTTTTTCTATCAGGCTAGCTCAAGATATCTGGTTCTGTCCCCCGTTCTGCCACAAATTCCTTATGTGACTCTGAGCAAGTCACTTAGCTTCTAGTTGCCTTAAGATCCCCTTCTGTAAAACTGGGATAATACTTACCTGCTTAGGAGTGGTGAGGTTTAGCTCAGGGTCGTGCGACTGTTGCTACAGAAGTATTAACACAGGCACAGAAGTGCTACAAAGCCAGCAGCCCTAACGAAGCTTTAGCTTGCTAGATGAAAGGTTTCTTGCATGAGGTAATGGAGGGACTAGGCTGTTCTTTGTAAACGTACTGCGCTATTCATGAGGAATAGGTTAATATTGAGGAATACCACAGCATGATTCATCGTGCTGTCCAAGCCATTAAGATTCTCCCTCTGGAACAACACAGTTTTAATTAATTTGTCTGCTCCCCAAAGCCTGCTGCAGCGCTGAGGCCTAGTGAGTATGTGACTGGAAACGCAATCACAGCCTCCTGCATAGCTGTGTGGGGTACTAACATATGCATAGCCTGAGATGAGGTTTCTTTCAGATTGGAATCTCTGTTAGTGAGCCCAACAATGCTGCCAAGGAGAGTGTACATTAGAACAGTCAGACTGGGTCAGGCCAATGCTCCATCTAGCCCAGTATCCTGCGTCTGACAGAGGCCAATGCCAGGCGCTTCAGAAAGAATTAACAGGGCTGTTATCAAGTGAGCCATCCCCTATTGTCCAGTCCCAGTTTCCAGCAGCCAGAGGTTTAGGAACACCCAAAGCATGAAGTTGCATCCCTGACCATCTTAGCTAATAGCCATTGATAGATAACTTTCTAGAGGATAGGTCCAAATCTTTTTTTTTAACCCAGTTATACTTTTGGCTTTCACAACATCCCCGGCAACAAGTTCCACAGGGGTTGACTGTCCATTGTGTAAAGTATTTCCTCTTGTCTGTTTTAAACTGGCTGCCTATTAATTTTATCAGATGACCCCTGGTTCTTGTGTCATGCAAAGGCATTAACACTTCCCTATTCATTTTCTCCACACCATTTATGATTTTATAGACCTCTATTATATCCCCCCTTTGCTCAAAGCTCTTGGGCCCAGCTTTACCCTTCATTAGAGGGACTCAGCTCCCAGTGGAAGCTGTGCCTGACTGCAGAATTGCAGCCCATGGCTCACATGCGGACCAGCTGGAAGCAGGTGTAGTTTTCATTGGAGTTGCACCAGATTTGATGTGGTTCCTTGTTCTTGAGGAGGAGGAGGAGGAACATTGTAAGCGCTGGTGCTCTTCAGAGGCAGGCAACGAGGTTGGTGTCAGTTCTGATACAGGGGATTATACCAATACTCTTCACCTCTGCCTGAAACCTACGTCACTGCCTGGCCACGTGCTGTGGATCCTTGGCCTCGTTTCTATTTTCTGCTGCTTCCTCTGGCTCATGTTGCTATTGGTCACAGCACTTCACTGGTAACACCCCACCATTCCCTTTTCTAATGTCACAGCGGGAGATGGTTATAGCCAAGGGGCAGAGCCTTTTCCAGGAGCTCCAAGGCCTTGAGGCACAGAGCCCTCAGCCAGTCTCTTAGCATCACCTCTGTGCCAGGAATGAACACCTCATGCCTATTTTGAGAGGGTGATAGGCCAGGGTTTCCTGTCCTGTGGGCTGTGAAGCTGCTCCTTTCACAAAGACAGTATCAGTGCCATATTCAGCAGCAAGGCGACTGTTTATATGAAGGTAACGCCAAGGGGTCCCAAGGGAAATCCGACTTGCTGGGCTAGGGCAGCAAAATGTCATCTTTTCCCTCAAGAGCTTGCAATCTAAATACACAAGACAAAGGCTGAGAGGGGAATCAGGCACAGATGGGGTAAGTGATTTGCCCAAGGTCCCACATAGGTCAGTGCCTGAGCCAGGAGTAGATGCTCTGTCTCCTGCCTCCCAATCCAAACCCTATCTATCTGACCATGCTGCCTCCTAGTGGTTGCCTAGGCCAGGTCTCTGAGCTTCCAGAGGCTTTCCTGACCTCCTAAAAACAGCTAAGAATGCTATGGCAGCCCGCAGCACTGCTCCATCTCTGTCTTTACTGAGTGTTTCTTTGTTTTAAAGTTACTCATGATCAAAAACGGGAGAGGTACAAATACACAGGAGGGAGAGTCAAATGCAGCAAGGCAAGAGTGAATGTTTGCACACTCATTTGCACTTCCTGTGGAAAAGGGTAAATTTACCAGTTACAAGAGGGGAAAAACCCAGCAAGGGGCTCAGGTGAGAAATGGACCTTAGTGAAACGAGAGGTGCTGAGAAAAAAGAAGGTCATGCTATTTACATTGTGCCCAACATAAGCCATGTATGCACCATGAGTGAAGACTGCAGATGGGAAGAAAGTGGAGGAAGGACCCTTATGCAGGTTGCAACAGCTTTCCCATCTGCTGTGAAAGGGCTGTGTGCTGGTTTGACAATAAACAAGACTTAACATAGGGACGGGCCAAAAGCACTTAGGTCAGTTGGAACTCAAAGGTGCTCTGCAAATCAATTGGCTATTTTTACAGACCCTTTTCTGACCATAACTGCACTTTAACCGAGAGCAGAACAGGTTTTATTACCTCCAAGTGAGTTCAGCTTGTTAACTGGCAGCTACAAAGAGATCTAGCAGCTGTAGCTGCTGGAATAGTTTCTGAGGAGTCACACAGCTCCAGGATGGGACGCTCGGAGCAGACTCAGAGCCACATATACAGGTGCATCTAAGGTAGTCATTCACAGGGCCCCCTTCAGCAAGTCCTTTACACTGACACTTGAGGGTCACGTCCTCTTGCTTAGCAATGTGTCAGCTCTTTGTGACATTCTCCTCCCCTCACGCAGAGAGCCAGTGCAAGGCCTATGCTCCACTTAAACCTTCTAAGTCAGGTTTAAGTGAGGCATGAGCTTTGCAGTGGCTATCCACATAGGCTGAACTGCACCTGGAGTGAACGGACAGGTACACTTTTTAAAGAGGGCATTTTATAAGGTGCCTGTGGCAACAGAGGGGCCAAACATAGCTGTTCCCTGACTTACCCACCAGCTTGCCTTAGGAACCCAGGCAGAGCTCAAATGAAGGGTGCATGCACAGGACAGCTAAGTAATCAAAAGCAGCGGCTCCTACCGCAGTGGATTTGACTCATTTTACAGCATGTTTGGTGCAAGCTGGCTTTCTGCCTGCTGCCATGACAGTGAGTCATGCTGGATGGCCGAGGAGCTTTTATGCTATTTGATTAATTTTTTGCATCATCAAGGAGATTGTCTGAGCAGCCATGTGCTGGCTCCACTAGCCAGCTGAACGGATGGAATTCATTTTGAGGGATCCTGGCTGAAAGCCTCTTGTGAGCACTGTGCTTGTGGAAAACATGTAGCACTACAGAATGGGAGGCAAATCACTGAGGCTCTGGCACCCAGGCGATTCCAGCCAGGGAAAGGTGCCCCAGCATAACCCTTGGGGACCACCCACGTTTGGTCCAGAACACAATGAGCACATGTAGGCCGAGCCCTCATCCCCGTCACAGAACGGCCTTGACCTGAACAAGAATGAGACTGAGGTTTAAACCAGCATGGAAAAAAAACCCCAGAAGCTCTGCAAAGGACAGCCAGGGTAGCCAGAGCACAGCCTCCAGCACATGCTCGGCTGCAGGATTTTAAACTACACCCGTTGATTCGAGGGAGGGACAAGTGAGAGACTTTGCTATTTTTAGATTGCAAACTCTCCAGGACAGGGCCTTTGCCGTCTATGTTTGCAAAGCACCTCACATGACTAGGGCCCTATAGTAATAACTGAAGTGGGAGAGGGAGCCTGACAGTCCAGCTGTGCTTTGTCCTTCCTGTGTCAGGAGGCATGATCGTCAGAAGGTTTTCTGCCATCTGGGACAACAGCTACACCTGGGAAAGCATCAAAGAGGAACTGCAAGGTCAGGCTCATTTTTTTAAAGTGGAAAGTTCAGGGTGAGCAGGCGCTGGGGATCTCAGGCAGGTCTGCAATTAGTAGACTTGTGGTGGAAAAAAACCACTATAATGAAAACCCTGCCCCTGAGAAGGGCTGCCCCTATTGGAGTCACTGGGAGTTGCAGGTGCTCAGCACGTCAAGATCAGCCTCTACATTACTGAGGTGCTGAAACAACCAGCCTCTGGATCAGAAAGGGCCAGCTATGACACCTAGCTACAGGACATCTAACCCCAAAGACAGTGTCTAATCTCATCACGAGTGGGTCATCCCTGCCTCTGACAGAGTCCTGAGGAGTCTGTCCCTTTCTTATGCTTTGGCAACACTTGTGAAGCTTGTCATGCCAATAAAGTCTCGTTGAATTCAATTTAAAGTGCCACAGACTCCGGTAATGTAGGGTAGCCAGCACCTCATCTGACCTTCCACGAACCGCAAACAACCTTGCTATCTTGGCATTTAGAAACTAATCACAGATGGGTCCATGCTGCTGCGTCTGCATGTGGATCCAGCCTCTCCCATAATCCTTCTGCCACCGCACACCCTCAGGTAATCTTGTCCTGGAAATACCAAAGTTTGGCTCTCGGGCTGTATGTTCAGATTAATGACTATATATGTGTGAGGCTTAAAAAAATATAAGACCCCGAGACAGGCAGGAGCTGTGGAAATGAAGCTTCAGATTTTGCTGCAGTTCAGCGCCGACCTGGTGCTCTTCGCTGTCAGAGGACCTGCAAGACAGCAGATTTCCAAGTGATGCTTCATTGCGTTCTAATACTGCCTCTTCTAGTGCAGTTACAGACTAATGGATACAGCAAAAATACAATGCATTGCAGCTGAGAGAGCTGAGGAAACTGTCAACATCATCACCAGACCTAGAGACAGGGCTATGTGCTCTTGTCCCTTTTGACAGCAAAGCTGAATGACCATTCCCTTGCCGTGTGTCCCTTCCTCATCAGAGCTATTGAATCTCAGGGCTTTTAGTCCCTGGGAGGGGTTTTAGTCTGAAGTCTCTGACATGCTCTCCGTCTTAACTCCAGCTAACAAAGTCTTTGTCTGGGAATTTCCTTTGGTGTCTAAGGGGAGGTCCAGCACAGCTGGCACATGCAGAGCGACTGCCTTAGAGCTTGCAGGGTCTCTTCCCCATCACTTGCTTCCCTGCCCCTTCAGCTTTACAGTCCTCTCTGGCTTCATTCTCATGACAGCAGATGGCTGGGAAAAGACTAGCCAGGAAGCGGGGACTGAGTGGGAAGATTAGGGCAGTCCAGGGATTCAGATATTGAGGAAAGCAGAGCCTGTGGCCTGGGCTGGAGAGCAGGGGTTTGGATAGAGGAGAGAAGCGGGGAGTGGGAGCACTTAGGGAGGGCTCTGGTCGGAGGCAGTGATGAGTTTGGAGGTGCTGGCCCTAGGGTTTTATGTGGCTCCAAGATCAGGATTTGGGTGGCAGGGGTCAAAAGGCTGGGTGACTGTGGGATGCTGGCGGGGAGTGGGAGGGCGTCTGAGCCAGGGATAATCAGGGATGGGATACGTTTGAGCAAGGAAATCCAGGATTTCCCGGCAGTGGGAGGAAAAGAGCCCCCTGCATCCTTAGGAGGTTCTTTGGCCTCTGGCGTGTCCTTCTCACATTCCTAACTCAACAGTGAATAACTCTTCAGATCCATTCCTCCCCGTCTCAGGTTTCCATCTCTCCACCCGCATTCCATTATGGCACCTGTCTGCCTGGAGTCTATGCACCTTCTGTACATACAAGGACGGAGGTGTTCATCCCTCCCTCCCTGCCCTCCAGTCAGCAGGGGTGGAGACCAGCATAAAGCTACCCTAAAGGACCAGAGAATGGGGCCCATAATCTTTCCGCCACCGCACTCCCTAAGGTAGTCTTGTCCTAGAAATATCATATACTATGTTGTGTAGGGCAACACATGTATACCATTTTAATTGATATGGTCACTCAAGAGCCCACCCTGTATTCAGTGGCTATGACTATTTGAATTTCTTTTTCAGTAATTTACTAATGTCCATTAATTATTATTATTATGTATTTATCATTATTACATATAGATATTGAAAATCATATAACAGATTCATCCTGCCCGTAAGGCTATGGGCTCTGTATCCCCAATACTCACGGGGCGTGGCCAGCTTTGTGAAGATGGGAAGCATGATATCTTCCAGCTGCTGCTTCTGATCCAGAAAGTCTTGTCTGGTGGGCTCCTTGGTGTTCTCAAGCCAGTCAGATTTTACACGACAGGCGCTGAGAGACATGTTCTGTAGAAGAGACAAGGGACATTAACCTTTAGAAGGTGAACTCTGGAAATCAATTACAGTATATACTTGTTCATTAGCCAGTTCGTTTATAAGCCGACCCCCAAGATGGATAGGTAAAAATAGTAAAATCTGTATTACTCTTTCATAAGCCGACCCTATATTTCAGGGTTTGGCTCCTAGCCCATCAGGGTAAGCCACTGGTGGATCGGGACGTTTTGTTTACCTGGAGTGTTCACAGGTATGGAGCCGCTCAGCTCCCTGTGGCCGTGGTTCACCGTTCCCAGCCAATGGCGGTGAACTGCGGCCACAGGGAACTGAGGGTCTCCATGCCTGCAGCCACTCCAGATAAACAAAACTACAATGTATTAGATATTCAATTCAATGATTTCATAGAGTTTAAAATCATCAAATTTTGGTGTAGACCTGTTCATAAGCCGACCCCAGCTTTTTGATGCGTCACTTTTCTTTACCAAAAATATTCGGCTTATGAACGAATATATATGGTACTTCATTTTAGATGATGTTACGAGTGGCCCCTCTCAACCAATCAGAAGACCAGGTAGCAACCCAGGGTCAAACTGCCTGTGCGATTTCTTACATGCCTGCCTCTGCCAGCCACAAAAGAGAGGATGCAACGTTGGCCTTGAACTAAATCTGGTCTCTCCTGTTAGGAGTTACAAATAAGGCACATTGATTAAGTTTGTATCAGTTAATTGAAGAGAGAGGTATGGTGTAGTGATCAGGTCACAGGACTGGGAGCCAGGAGCTCCCAAGATATCATCCAGAACCGGACGGTCACTCTTGCTGAGCCTCTCGGCTCAGGAGAACTGGGCGCAACTCTCTTCAGAGCCCATAAACGCTGTTGGGCTACAGGAGATGCTGCAAAGCAACACGAGGTGCCAAGCGATCCAGCACTAAGAGTGCAGTGAAAGGGCTAGAGCAGGAGGGAGGAGCACGGTCTCCCTGTGTAACCTTGAAATAACCACTTCACCTCTCCACGGGTCGCTTTCCCCATCTGTAAATGGGGATAACGCTCACCTCGCACAGGACCTATAAGGCTTCATTCATAAGTGCAAAGCATTTGGGCTCAGATCCTCAAAGGGATTTAGGTGTCCAACTCCCATTGAAATCCATGGGAGTTAGACACCCAAATACCTTTGGGATCTGAGCCTTTGTGTTTATCCAGCACCTTCTCCAGCAGGATAACAAAGTACTACCATTCATACGCTGATCTGCTCCCCATTGCAAGCACTGCTGAGTGTAGTCTCCACCCCTTTGGCTGGGGAAGCCTTTCTGCAAAGGGCGGTGTGAGCAGAAAACATATCCCCACATGGAATCAAGAAGGCAGTTCTAAAGTTTACTGCAAATAGGTCGGTTCTCCTGATAAGAGCTCTGCATTGTACCTTGTCTTCCTTGTTCAGCCTTCCCTGCACCTTTTCTGGGTCTGCAATCGTTGCCTGGATGTGGGCAATGAACGTCCGCAGAGCCTGCTTAGCTTCTGCGAAACAGGACACACGTGAGGTTAGTCATGGGGAAGTACTCACAGAACGAGGCAGGGGCTTATAGAGAGACAGACTGCTACACAAAAGGAACCAGCCTTGTGTCCCATGTTGATCCAGACTGCTTTAAAGCTATTTAGGTACTAATTATTTGCCCTTCCTTGGAAGCCCTTGGGGTTTATAAATATTAACGAATGGAGCCTCACCACACTCCCGGGAGATAGATAAGTCTATTGTCCCATTTTACAGATTGGGAAACAAGGCACAACAGGACAGATCCTCAGCTGGTGTAAATCACTGCCTTCAATGCCAATTTATGCCAGCTAAGGATCTAGAAATGATGGGCTTGCTCCTGTGAGGTGGTGGGTGCTCCTAGCTCCCCTGGACTTCAGGGGAAGTCCCAAGAGCTCAGCCTCCCACAGGGTCACACCTACATTAAGGGTATAAACCTGAGGGGTCAGTCACTGGCAAACCTGCGCGTCTTCGAAAGAGCACAACGCCGAGCTCTGCCCTGACCAAGTCGTTGGGGGGCCAGACGGTGAACCCCTGACTCATAACAGAGCAGTTACTCACACAAGGAGCTGTGACTCCAACAAGACTCGTTGTGTGCACATGGGTTCTCATGTTACCTAGTTCCATAGTTATAACTGGCTGGACTAGCACGGCATCCTTGGCAAGTCAAACATCTGTATTAATAATAGTTTGCACTTCATAGCTCCTTTCACCTGGAGATTTCAAAGCACTGTACAAAATGGGTCAATATTATCTCCATTTTACAAACGGGGAACTGAGTCACAGAGCGGCTAAATCAGTTGCAGAGCTGGGATTAGAAGTCAGTCTTTCTAACTCCCCCTTCCCCACTCTCGCTGCTAGACCATGTTAGGCTGCTTATACCTTTAACTCCGTACGGTGCCCCCTGAGAAAAGCTTTGAGATCTTTATGACATCACAATACCTTTCTTGAAAGCAAACGCCACTGGCTGATGATGTCACCAGCCGACAACTTCTCTGGCACTCAGGACTGGAGCTTGGTCCCAAGCCACGAAACGCCAGGGTGGAGGGTTTCATTTGCTTAAAATCCATCCAAGGCACTACAGTATGAACTTTAAAGACTATTTGCTGTTGGATCTCTGGCTGCAGTTGGTACATGCTGACAATCAAGTCACTGGAGACCTTTCCTCTTAAAAAAAGACCATGTTCGTCCGAGGCGCCTCCCTAGTCTTTCCTGTCTGGATTGTCGTCTTGTTCCAAGACAGCCTCTGCCTTTGTGATCGCCCAAGCTGGGTCAGAGTTGGATGGGAAATTCTTCCAGAGGATCTGGAGCAACTGCAGCTTGGAACTCCGCTTCAATCTAACTGCCTGCCCTACCCTCTGGACCAACTATCTCACTGCTTTACTCACCTGGAAATAGCCAAAGGATGCTTGGAGGTTCTGTGTGCCAGCTGCAAAGTTATACTTTTCCTCCTAGGGGGCTTATGTGTACGCTGTCTTTGGAGCAAATTGAGAAGACCGCAGAAGAAGGTGAGTGATGTAAATGAGCAAGGTAGGAATGATGCTGGTTAGATTAGAGCATGGGACTGGAAATTGACTAACTCTGCTACTGACTCACTGGGTGGCCTTGAGCAAGTCACTTAAGCCTAACTTTTCAAATGTGTCTGCTAATTTTGGGTGCCTCCATTTTGAGGCGCCATTGAAGACACCAAGGCCAAGAGGTTCAGAAATAGGAGCCTAAAGCTAAGTCCATGTTTGGACACTCTGAAAGTGGCCTGATTGTCAAAAATACCAAGCACTCAAGATCTCCCATTGATGGTACCCATCTCTCCAGGGGCTCTGCTGTGTGCTTGGCACTTTGGGAAGTCAGACCACTTATTTAGGTGTTGAAATATCCTGTGTTGGCCAGAGGGCCAGGGACAGTTGTCAGCTGTCGAGTTTTGTGCCATGATACAACTAGAGGCTATGAACAGCTAGAGTCAAAGCACTTAAATGTGGGAAATAGCAACCAGCCTAGGATAGCACCCACCACTTTGGCTTGGATCATCCCTGAGCCTTGTGTCCCATTTCCTGGGGGAGGTGGGAGTCCTCTGGATATGGCCAGAGGTCTAGGGAAAGCCCACCCTTATGCTATCACTATTATTTGTATTAGAGTAGCACTTATGGACCCCAGTAAAGGATCAGGGTCCCATGGTGCTAGGTGCTGTACAGACAGTAGTAAAACAAAAATAGTTTAATGTGGATAAATGTAAAGTAATGCACACTGGAAAAAATAACCCCAACTTTACATACAATATGATGGCGGCTAATTTAGCTACAACTAATCAGGAGAAAGATCTTGGAGTCATCATGGATAGTTCTCTGAAGACGTCCATGCAGTGTGCAGCGGCAGTCAAAAAAAGCAAACAAGATGTTAGGAATCATTAAAAAAGGGATAGAGAATAAGATGGAGAATATCTTATTGCCCTTATATAAATCCATGGTATGCCCACATCTTGAATACTGCATACAGATGTGGTCCCCTCATCTCAAAAAAGATATACTGGCATTAGAAAAGGTTCAGAAAAAGGGAACTAAAATCATTAGGGGTTTGGAATGGGCCCCATATGAGAAGAGATTAAAGAGGCTAGGACTTTTCAGCTTGGAAAAGAGGAGACTAAGGGCGGATATGATAGAGGTATACAAAATCATGAGTGGTGTGGAGAAAGTGAATAAGGAAAAGTTATTTACTTGTTCCCATAATATAAGAACTAGGGGCCACCAAATGAAATTCATGGGCAGTAGGTTTAAAACAAATAAAAGGAAGTTCTTCTTCACACAGCACACAGTCAACCTGTGGAACTCCTTGCCTGAGGAGGTTGTGAAGGCAAGGACTATAACAGGGTTTAAAAGAGAGGTGGATAAATTCATGGAGGTTAAGTCCATTAATGGCTATTAGCCAGGATGGGTAAGGAATGGTGTCGCTAGCCTCTGTTTGTCAGAGGGTGAGATGGATGGCAGGAGAGAGATCACTTGATCATTACCTGTTAGGTTCACTCCCTCTGGGGCACCTGGCATTGGCCACTGTCAGTAGACAGGATACTGGGCTGGATGGACCTTTGGTCTGACCAAGTATGGCTGTTCTTATGTTCTTACTTCCCTGCCCCAGAGAGTTTACCGTGGTGGTTAGTGAAGAGGTTCTCAACCTTTCTCTTTCTGAGGCCTCCCAAAATGCTATAAAAATTCCACAGCCCACCTGTGCCACAACAACTGTTTTTCTGCATATAAAAGCCAAGGCCAGCGTTAAGGGGTAACAAGAAGAACAACTGCCCGGGGCCCTACGCCACAGGGGGCACCATGAAGCTAAGTTGCTCAGGCTTTGGCTTCAGCCCCGGGTGGTAGGGCTCAGGGCCCCAGGCTGCAGTCCTGCATGGTGGGGGTTTGGCTTTCTGCCCCCCACATCTTGAAACCTGCCCATGGTCCCCCGGAGACCCCTGGTTGAGAACCACTGGATTAGGGTTACTGAATGGTGCTCTCTGAATCCGAAGAGGTAAGGAAAGGAACAGAGAAGAGATGATACGGGTAACACTCCAAATGGTTGGTGATCACCAAACAGTCAATGCCTGGGGCCTTGCTGCTGCAAACACTTAATTAATCCAAGTACAAGGATTTCCTCCGGCTTGCCCGCATGGCAGGGCTGCCGCCTGTACTCAGACCACGCAGTGCCCTCAGTGAGGCAACATACTTGCACATGGGCTTTCAGTTGGAGTCAGATCTTGGGGCAGGTCCTCCAAGTATTTTGGCTCCCAACTTCCACTGAAATCAATAGAAATTAGGAGCCTAGATACCTTTGAGGACCTGGACCCTGGTGCTTTTGGGGCAGAGCGCTGTATGTCATTGGGACTATTCACAAAGCAAGGTACAGCTCAGTGTAAGTGCATCAGGAAGTGGCCCTTACAGCTCACCTGCTCAAACCGATGAAGAGTTTTGCCATTGACTTCAGCAGGCCCAGGATTAGACCCTTCGTCAGCAGTCTCTAGAAGATGCTTAAGAAACTTGACTTGTTGATCATTTAAAATGCTCTGGCTCCCTCTTCAGCACCATTCCAAGAGGCTTGAAACCTCTCCATGAACCATCAAAGAGGAAAGGGCTGATTTTAAAGGGACAGGTCAACTGGGCCTCATCATTTTAAACTGAATTGCTATTCTGAAGACTAAATCTAATGGCAAAGGACTCCGTAGCATGGGTTCACTCAAGAATTTCTCTCATGCACCATGAACATAACATAGGAACAGCCAGACTGGCTCAGACTTCCTGTCTCTGGCAAAACCAGACACTTGCGAGGAAGGTGCAAGAAACCTCCTGTAGGCAGATGTGGGGGTGATCTGCCCCCAGGAAGGTCTCATCCTAGACCCCTAAGAGTTAGAGATTGATTTAAGCCCTAGAATGGGCAATGGAGACATTTGAAAGTACTGTAACAGCTAGGGTAGAACCCAGTGGGAGCCTTAGCAGGTGTATGGGAGGACAAGTCTGAAGTTTTCTTATAACGACTTGCAGAGAGTAAATCTCTGGAGAACAACAGACTGGATCAGATCCCCAGGCTGCTGTAAACCAGCATACCTCCATTGAAGTCCATGGATCAGATCCCCTGCTCGGGTAACGAAGAATAGTTCTGCTCAATTCTATGGGCCAGATCCCCAGGCTGGTGTAAATCAGCGTCACTCCACTGACGTCGGTGGAGGTGACTTACACCAGCTGAAGATCTGGCCTGTGGACTCTTGAATTAGTAAGTAAGAAATAAAGCCAGGCTGATGGCTTTTGGCTCTCGATGAAAAGAATTACTGTCACAATGTCATCTGCTCTGTCTTTCCAGGTGTCCGTGGAGACCTCTTCCGTTTCTGTCACGACAGAATTTCATGCTGAGTGCACCTGCAACGTCGACAAAATGCTCTGCAGGCTGGTGGCAAACACGTCTATCATGATGAAATACCTGAAGTACGTATGCCACCATCATAGGAAAGAAGCCAGGCACCGGAAGTTAAGTAAGAAGAGGAAGGAAGAAGAAATTAAGGATGAAGAGATCTTCCCTATTTGTCCGTACAGCCACAGCTCCAGCATGGATACTGTGATGCAGGAAGTATAAGCGAAAGGACTCCTCCTCAGACAACAATCATATTTTCGTGCTCTAATAATTGTTTATACATATTCTTTGCTAAGATATTGCGAAGGCAGGAGAGTGGGGAGGTCAAGGACTGAAGTCGATGGCTGTTTGTTTGAATGTTTATCTAATGATGACAGTTTGAGAGTTGAACACTGTCGATATTCCCATGGACAAGGTGGGGAAGCAGGAGGGGAGAAAGAGGGACTATTAAAAAAAGTCTTTCAGAAGCATGGTGACAGCGGTTTGAATTTGGAACGTCAGTAAAATAACATTGTACTGGGCAGAAAGAAGCCCCAGTTCTCTCCTGTGATCCAGCTGCTTTGAGCCACTCCCTCAATGCAAGGCAGCTGGAAAGCTGCCTTATTCCAGCTAGTTGGGGACTCCTCTAGCCAAAGGTGAATCCCCATATGGCATGGAACCAGAATAAGCACTGTACACCATCTCCTCCAGTACAGTGGGCAAGGCCAAGGAACAGGGGCCATGACTGGAGAGCCACTGTGTCCAGCTACCCCTGGCTGCTAGAATGGCCCCTTAGAACTGCAGCTGCTGGGTCACACCAGGGGCCAAACTGCTCCCTGACCACTCTGCGTGTCAGGGAGCTGCATGGACAGGGTAAACCAGCTTTGTCCCTTTTCCTCTGGTCCTGCACTGAGCATCACTTGGCAGGACCAGAGAACCTCAGCCTGATGCTTTATGTTTCTGCTATCCAGGACTTTCTTTAGGGCATGGGCAGCTACCAAGGGTCCACCCACAGAGTTACTGGTGCAGATCTCACCTTAGGAGCTGCATTTGTTGTTGGATCAATCACCTTACAGGTCAGGCCTAGAGTAGTATTTAAAATTCACTTGACCTACAGACATGGGGGTCAAATCTTCAGCTGGTATAAATCAGCATAGCTTCATTCACCTCCAGTGGAGCTCTGATGGACTTTCACCAGCTGAGGCTCTAACCCATGGTGATCACAACCTCCCCTGTGTAGTTGGGCATTACCAGTCTCACCTGCCCAGTCCAGGAATTCGACGCAGTCTGTCTGTCCATAACGGTCGGCTATATCTCGGGCCTTTTCACCCCGGAAGGTCATCGCTAGAATATCAGCTTCCAGTTCTACCAGAGTTTTCAAAGTCTCCAGCTGGCCCCAGGCCGCAGCACAGTGGAGGAGTGTGTAACCTGTGGCATGATAGAGAAGTCATCAGAACCAAAGGGAGAGGTATCTTGCTGGGGGTCAAATGCCAGCTAATAATACTTTGCATTTTCAGAGCAACTTTCTTCCCAAAGTGCTAAGTACACGTGAAACCCCCCTGTAATGCAGCTGCCACTGGAGGGGAGGTCAGGAACTAACCAGTGCTGCACAGCAGAGTCGGAGGCGGGGCGAGAAAACTGTGGCCAAGGGCAATCCTCAGACAAAAGGTACAGGGAAGGAGCCAGCCATGGAGGGGAGGGGAAAGGCATGTGAAGTCTGGAATCAGTGGTACGACAGAGGAAAGGGAAGTTTTGCGGCAAGAGGGTTAGAGAATTTAGGTTGCAGGAAGTGAGAGATGACCAAGCAGTTGGGACAACAGAACAGGAAGATCAATTTCTAACAGTGGAGAGTTACAGGAAGGGAACAGAGGAGAGGTCAGGATAGGGGGGGTGAGTGAACTTGGAGAGGAGGTGAGTATAAAGCCACGTGGGGATCTTGGGTCAGATCCAAAGCCTAGTGAAGTCAATGGAAAGGATACCATTACCTCAGTGGTGCTTGGATCAAGCTTCACAGAGGCAGAGTGGAGGGTGGAAGGAGTAAGTGAATGTGAATTCAGAGAAGTCAGGCTAAGCTTGAAGGAGAGAAGGGCTGATCCTGCACCAATGAAGTCAATGCATTGGCTTGGATGGGAACTGGGTCAGGGCCGGAGTGAGCAGGTATGGGGCCTAATCCGTTGCCCGCTGCGGTCAGCAGCATACCTCTGGCTGTTTTATCCTTCATGACCACTCCGTATTTTGCCAGTGCTCTGATGACTGCACTCTGTCCAGCCATGCTGGTTGCATACAGTAGGTCTCTCCCTATGATGTCCTTTTCCATGAGAAGTTGCATGGCCTTTTCACCATCAGGATCTTCTGGGTCAGCAAAAATCTGCTGCACACCCTCCACATCTCCAGTGAGAGCAGGCCTCAGGAGAGGGTTAGAACACTCTGGCTCCTTAGGCTCCCCTGTATCTGCTGGCTGTGTTGCTTCTCCTAGCTCCATTGTCTCTAGAGCAGTGTCTGCCAAAAAAGGAGAAACAGTATGGAATCCTTTAAAGCAGCTGATTGGTTTTGTGGTTTGCCCATATATATATATATATATATATATATATATATATATATATATTCACCAGGATTGTAACCTGGGTCTTTTCCAAAATAGAATGGGGCACATCCAATATTCACCAATGACCCTCCCTGATATGAACGTATTATTTTTATTTACAGTGTGGCCAGCTTTCATTATTTTATCATTGGTCTTGTGATTTTTCTTAAAGCCCCAGCTGTTGGAACCATGATATTACATGAGAATCTCAGCTTTCATTTAAAAAACAAAGTACACTTCATCCCTCATGGCTGCAGAGTACAGCTGGAAAATGTCAACCCTAATGGCTTAAACCCCAGAGGGGCAAATACCAAGAACCTAACGTTTACTTTTTTTTTTTTTTTAAATCTCATGATTTTAAAGCCAGTTTTGTGATGTGTGTGTGTCAGGCTCATGAGTTTTGAACTTTGGGGTTGGCGATACAGTGTTACCAATGCACATGCCAGTTTTGCAGAATGTAGTGTTTAAAAGAGCTTGCCACCTAACTCAGGCAGAGTAGATCAAATTAACTAGCAACCAATTAAGTGCAGATCATTGTGATAAATTAAGACAGATTTCCATGAGTTTATACATCAGGCAGAACTTGGTATGAGCAAGACAATGAACTTTCTTTGAACTTAGTAGCCCTTACATAAAGTATTCAAATGTAATTTTTTCTGCCCAGTGTCAATTTATTTCCATTACTGTATATTCATCCCATTACTGGCTCCCCCTGCTGGTTAAAATGAAACATAGCAATTCATGGTTTTACCTTTTACTAACTGGGCTGCTGGAGAAGGATAATTATTTTGGTATTCAGAGTAGCAGCCTGCATGCACCCAATGAAGTGAGCTGTAGCTCACGAAAGCTTATGCTCAAATAAATTTGTTAGTCTCTAAGATGCCACAAGTACTCCATTTCATATTTTGGTATTGAAAATCATGGGCTCCTATTTTCTTGCAGCTGCTGGGGAGTCTGCACAGACTAATTATTAGAACGGACCAGTGAAAGTTGGGATTGCTGGGTTCTAGACCTTGCTTTGTCACTTATTAGCAATGGGCTTGCTCCATCACCCACTGAAATCAGTGGAAAAACTCCCATTGATTTCAGTAGACGTTGTATGAGGCCCTGTGTGACCTCAGAAAAAGTCACATAACTTCTCCATGTGTTGGTTTCACCACTGGTAAATTGGGGATAATAATGTAAACTTGCAAGGTTGTTGTGAGGCAATTAATTACAGCCCTAGGAAGCTAGCAACAGTGATATTGATTGGGGGACAGGGACATACTTTTTAATCCCATGAAACTGGGCACACACTGTTTTTTGTATATATATGGACTGTCAATTAATTGCAGTTAACACAAGCGATTAACACAAAAATTAACTAAATTAAAAAATAGTTATGATTAATCACAGTTTTAATCACACTGTTAATAATGGAATACCTATTTAAATGCATTATAAATATTTTGGATGTTTGTCTACATTTTCAAATATTTTGATTTCAATTACAACACGAAATACAAAATATACAGTGCTCACTTTATATTATTTTTTATTACAAGTATTTGCACAGTAAAATAAAAAGGATCCAAAGCAGTGCAGACCAATGGACCTTCATTTGCATCATCTGAGTCAGATGCCACCAACAGAAATTAACACATTTTTTTTAATCATCAGCATGAAAGCATGTCCTCTGGCATGGAGGTCCAAGCATGAAGGGGCATACACAGGGCCGGTGCAAGGATATTTTGCGCCCTAGGCGAAACTTCCACCTTGTGCGCCCCCCCCCTTTCCTCGTACTGCTTCACTACGGTACAAAGTGGCAATGACAATATCAATATGACGAATTTCAACAACCTACACACGCATATTCGCACATAAACATATACACTCAAATACTTAACATACACACACAATTGACACAAAGTATTAGCGAAATGATGCAGCAGCACTTGCCAGAGTCTTAAATCTGAAACAACTCAACAAAAATAGTTAGCCTCAGTTGACAACCTCCGAAAACTAGTAAACTTAGCATTATAAACAGCCTGTCAGAACGGGTAATGGCTGCGCATGACGAGAAAAATTACGTCACACACACACGTTCTGGGTACCCAGAGGGGGAGGTTTCCATGTTTGGTAACTATAATGCCTCAAACTGGTGCTATAACACTGTAACTGGTGCCCGCTTGTCTCTGCATTGACCAGCTGTGGCTCCAGGTGAGCACTTCCCATAGAAATCCTGAGATGGGTAAACTGCCCCAAGAAATTTTAAAATGTCCTGGACCAAATGTAGAATAAGGGGGGCAGGCAGGGGTCTCCGAGGCTGCTTGCTATGGGGAGCTGGGGCACCAGCGGGAAGGCTGCAGGGGGCACACGGGGAGGCAGCGGCAGGTACCCAGGTACCCTCAGGCTTTGGGCAAGGAGTCCCGCTCCATCCCCCTAGTGCCCACCTGCAGCTCCCATCTGGTCTCGCCACGGCCCTGCTCCGCAAAGGGTCCCACCTTAGGGGGACGAGCCTGGCCCACCTCGCTGGCCCGCGGGGGCTGTGCTCCGCCCCAGAGCAGGCTGGGCCCTGCGCTCCCCACGGGCTGGATTAACTTTTTGTGGGCCCGGCACCAAACATATTTGTGGCCCCCCCGGGGAATGAAGAGGCTAGAGGCAAGAGCACAGCGGGCAGGGTGGATTTGATTTAAATCATGACTTAAATCACTAGTTAGGAAGACTTGATTTAATCTTGGGTTTCTACATAAAAGTGCATTCTTGTTGGTTGTTATAACCTTAATACATATTCTTCACAACACAGAGAGATGTAGGTTTCATTTTTAGAAGGTACACACTATACATTTTTAAACCATGATTTATTTTGAAAACTTTTCAGATGAGTATTACAGCTATATCAATCATTCATTTTCTGATTGGTTATTTCATTTATCAAAGATAATTGAAGCAGATATTTATGAAGTCATTGGGAGGTGAACTATCTCCAATTCAAGAGGTTAATCATTAATATTTGGAGGATTTTCTTACCAGGCTGTATTAGGAGGAGAACACCACCAGACAGACATTTAAATTGTTTTACTTAACTAAAACAACAAAGTTAAGTATTCTGGATTTTTTTCTTCAACTGCAAACATAATATTTTAACAAAAAAGCATTTGTCCCTCACTTCTCACATTTATCTCCAGACTTCTTCTCCTTGTCCAGATCTATTTTGCCCCCAACAATCTTCTATTCATTGAACTTTTTGAAACTTTTCACTTTTAAAGAGAGGTAAGGGATTGACCTTGCGTACACAAATTTACAGAGGGACAATAGAGTTGAGGTCTGTTATTTCTCACCTCTATATATTATTTATTTATTTTATTTAAAACATTTTTGCTGTTAACAAGCATGTTACCTCTGGAGACGCAAATCCACAGTTTGAGAACTGCAAAACTAAGCATCTCTGATGGTATCCTCTAGACTGAGCACTGACTCCCATGGGGTAGATAGAAAAATTAACCTATATAATCTATACAGGAGCCTTTGGAACCCCATAAGATTGGGTCCCTAATCCATGAACTATTAGAACTCATTTACAAAACTTTTCTTAAACATTACATGAATATATTGTCTCATACTATAGAATTAGAATTTATAATCCCTATTCTATGATATAATGTATCTTAATTAAAACTATTTTAGATAGTTTCTTTCCCTCAAAAATCCGATTTAAATTTAAAAAATCCAATTTTTTTATTTTTTTTTTAAAGTCATTGATTTTTATCCACCCTGACAGCTGGGCATAGTCCGGGGGAAGGATTGGTCCCCAGCTGGAGCAAGGCAGGGGCCAGGGGCAAGATGAGCACATTGGGTCATGGGGGGAGGATCAGTCCCTGCTGACTGGAGCAAGGCAGGGGCTGGGGACAAAAGCACAGCGGGGCGGGAGCTAGGGTTGGTCCTTGGAGTAAGGGAGGGGCCGGGAGTAAACTGCAAGCGCAGCAGGACTGGGGAGGGGGTAAACAGGATCCCCCCCTCACCCCTGCCCACATAGAGCAGGTACCTACCTTCTCCCCGGTTCTAGCCCATTCTCTTCGTCTCTCTCTGCACGGAGCTGAGAGTGGGAGTGCAGGGTCTGGGAGGGAGTTAGGATGTAGGAGCAGGCTGGGGGTTGGGGTGCAAGGTCTGGCCAGGAGCTAGAATGAGGGAGGGGGCTCAGGGTTGGGGCAGGAGGTTTGGGTGTGGAGAGCTTACCTGGGGCAGCTCCCATTCGGTGCAAGGGGTGCAGGTGGATATCTGCAGTGGGGTGTGCAGGAGCTCCTGTTTGGTGCTCAGGATGGGGGTGGGGATGTGCAGGAGTCAGGGCATGAGGTGGGGGGGCTGGATATATGTGGGGGTCCAGGAGTCAGGACTGGGGGCTAGGTGTGTGTGAGGGGGTTCAGGAGTCAGGGCATAGGGTGTGGGGCAGCTGGGTATTTGTGGGGGGTGCAGGAGTCAGGGATGGGGTTCTGGGAGGGTGCAGGAGTCAGGACAGAGGGCTGGGGGTGTGTGAGTGGGGTGCAGGAGTCAGGGAAGAGGGCTGGGAGGGTGCAAAGGGGATGCAGGAGTCAGGGCTGGGTGTGTGTGAGGGGGGTGCAGGAGTCAGGGCTGGGGAGGTGTGAGGGGGGTGCAGGAATCAGGGCAGAGGCCTGGGGGGTGGAGGAGTCAGGGCAGAGGCCTGGAGGTGTGGGCTAGGGTCATGGGGATGCTCCCAGCCCCCTGCCCTGAGCGGCTGATGGCAGGGGGCTGGAGGGGATATGTCCCAATTCCACCCCTTTCCCCAAGGCCCCGCCCCTGCCTCTTCTCCGCTTCCTCCCTCTCCCTCTGGAGGGCAACAGCTGATTGGTGGCAGGGAGGGAGAGGAAGTGAGAGGGGGAGGCGGGAACCCAGCACAGCTGGGGGAAGAGGCGGGGGAGGGGGGAGCTTGGCTGCCAGCACAGCCTGCCCTGTTGGAGCAGGACAGAGCCCCAGGAGCCGCAGTACCAAGCTTCTGCCCCGCAGGGGACAGAGGGGGATGGAGAAGAGCGGCCGCTGGGGCCCCTTCGGAGTGTGGGCCTGGCACCATAGCTGGCGCCATGGTAAATCTGCTACTGCCTGCGGTGCTGCCCTGCCTGCCGCAGTGAAAGCTGCGCCCAGGCCAGGCCCCGCCCCGCCAGTCCGTCCCCCGGCTCCGTGCGCTGCGCGGCAGCCAGGCAGCACCCGTGCTCGTCAGAGAGAAGACAAGTTAAAATGTAAAAAAAATTTGGGGCACCGCTTTTTGGTGACCCCAAATCTTGGCGCCCTAGGCGATCGCCGAGTTCGCCTAATGGTTGCACTGGCCCTGGGCATACAAATGTTTGGCATATCTGGCACGGAAATACCTTGCAATGCTGGCTACAACACTTTCTCACTTTCAGGTGACATTGTAAATAAGAAGCAGGCAGCATTATCCCCTGCAAATGTAAACAAACTTGTTTGTCTTACCAATGGGCTGAACAAGAAGTAGGACTGAGTGGACTTGTAGGCTCTAAAGTTTTACATTCTTTTGTTTTTAAGTGCAGTTATGTAAAAAAAAATCTACATTTGTAAGCTGCATTTTCATGATAAAGAGACTGCACTACAATACTTGTATGAAGTGAATTGAAAAATACTTTTTTATCTTTTTTATATGGCGAATATTTGTAATAAAATAAGATAAAATGAGCACTGTACACTTTGTATTCTAGGTTGTAACTGAAATCAATATTTGAAAATGTAGAAAAACATCCAAAATATTTATAATATATTTAAATTGGTATTCTATTATTAAGTGTGATTAAAATTGTGATTAATTTCAACTATTTTTCTCATGATTAATTGCAATTAGTTTTTAATCGTTTGACAGCTATAATATCTATCTATCTATATCTATATAGCCATTGTTTATTTTCATTTTGTCACAAAAGCACTTATCCACAGATTTAAAATACACAAACACTTAGAGATTAAGGAACAAAAACACCGGGGACTTTAATATCTATGTACTCCATAAGAGAGGGACTTTCTAGGCACAGTTTGCATGTATTTTCCCAGGATCCAGGTCTAACTCAGTTAATTGAGGACAGAGGATTATGTGGCGTCCCAGTGAAGTCAGTGGGACTGCACAAGAGGAAGGGACCACACCTGGAAATTGCATCAGGCCCAACTTAAGTCACGTAAGCTGACAGGAACCATTTTGTTTCTGTTTTCTCATGAGAGGGCAAATACATTCTTACTGTGAGGCTACTTCTCTCTCCAGCCCATGGGAAAATGCCATTTGCACAAACATTTAAGAAGAAAAGCCATGTTAGAGGAGGATATGTCATAGAAGGACCTGATCCTGACTGGTGCTGAGTGTCCCAGACTCACTGATCCCAGTGGAAACTGCAGGTACTATGCTCACACAGTTTTCAGGGTAACTGTGTTGAAAAACATAGGACAAAGGGCCAGCTGCCAAGAGGAAGCCCCCTGTACAGTGGCACTGAAGCTCACAAGATGGGGGCCTGCTACACTGGATTTGTGCATGCAGCTTCATTGTTCTCTGCTCAAATGCTTCTCAGTGGCTCCCGACTGGACCCAGGCTGCTGTGGGACAACAAGCACCACACTTGGCACGTCCCACAGCTCCCTCGTGCAGATTCTCAGGATCACGCCCTAAATGACCAAACTGAACAAGACACAATTAGGGCCCCTCTAGGGCTCACACAAACCTGCGCACGGCGGGAATGTCCTCACCTCCCAAGAAAGCTATTCCCGGCCCTGCCTGGCCCCACCGATGCAGACAGCTTCTGCTGTTGCCATAGCAACAGTTCTCTGTGTGCCACCTTCACTCTCCTCCGGATTCCAGGGAAGGCTGACATCACGGAATGGCTCTGCCCAGCCAGCTGAGGGACCAGGCCTGCTGCCAAGGGTTCCAGGGTGCACAATGCCACTGAGGCTGGAAGTTAGAGGGAAATCACTGGTGAATATGGCTGGAGGAATCATCAAAGCCTTATGATGCCAGCCTGCATCTCCTGACACTAATTTTTAGGGAAGGGATTTAAAAGCCATTTCCAAACCCTTGGTATCATGTCAGTGAGCTTTCTTTAAAATTCCTCTCAGGTCAGTGATGTCTCTGGGAGTCACACAAGATTTTGGACTAGACTGTGCATAGCCACTAAGCAGGGGCCTGACTGCAAGTGAATGGGAGTCTTGCTACTGTGCCTGACCCAAGAACAAGAAAAGGGATATGCAGTGTTGTTGTAGCCGAGTCAGCCCCAAGATATTGGAGAGACAAGGTGGGTGAGGTAATATCTTTTATTGGATCAATTTCTGTTCTCTGGTTGAGAACAGAAGTTGGTCCAATAAAAGATACTACCTCACACACCTTGTCCCAAGAAAAGGAATGGCAGCACACCACATAACAACCTGCCACCTGATTGGGAATGGACAGTAATGACCAATGGATGCAAGGGATCCAGCCCCAAACACAGTGTGGCCCCATTCGTGGGTGGGTTGTACCTGCCATAATAGATACCTGAGGGGGTCTGTCTTTTTTTTTTAAACACTTTGACACTATTTGCATAGCTTTTCATGGCAATAAAGTCTCCTTGAATTGAAATGAAGTTGACTTTAGTGGACTTTGGATCAGGACCCAGGTGAGCAAGAGGGTTGTAAGACACATGAAGCTTCTCTCCTTCTGCCCATTCCCATCGTGTCTGGGTGCAATCACAATCCCTACAGCACACAGACTGCTCCCTCCCACTGCCCACTTGATATGCAAGACATGCTAAAAGCAATGAGGAGGAGGAGGAGACGGGAGTAGCGTTGGCTGATCACAAAAAAGGGCACACACCACACCAGTTTCCTCAGGATGGTGCAGCATCTGCACACTGCGGGCTTCCGGAGCAACTTCTGTGGTGGAGCAGAACTCACCCTAGGCAGAGTGATATATAAACTTCACAATCAAACCTCCCCAAGTGAGTGTAACTCATCAAAAAGGAAGGGAGTTGAATCCACTCCATTTATTTAACAAATTAAGGAGATGCTGAGTTTGCGATGCAATTTTAACAAGATAGCACTTTGCATTCTTAGGTTGCCTCATCAAGGGATCACAAAGCACTATGCAATCATTGATTAAACCTCACAACCATCCCACTTTCAAGACAAAATTGCTAGGCTGGGGATGAGTCATAAGATTGTAATGCTACCTTAGCACTTGGAGATTCAAAGGAATAATGTTTCACAGATCCCAAAAGTGAATTCAGGACCCATAGGCAGCTGTAATTGCAGGACGCCTTGTGAAAAGCTACATAATTCTGACAATAATGAGGTGACAGTCTTTCCTGTGAGATAGATGTTATACTATCTCCATTTTACAGGCTGGGGAAACCAAGGCACAAAGCAATTTAATGACTTGCCCACGACCATACAGCAAGTCGGGGCTCTGAACCAGGAACAGAATCCAGGAATCCTGATTCCCAGTTTCCTGCTCTAATCACCAGGAAATACTTCTGTTTATTCACATCAATGCACATTGAATTCCCCGAGCCTAGTGAAACTGATATAATAATTGATAATCAGTCATTGAGCTGATAAGGGCTGAATGATCTGCCCCACATTTGTTTTGAAATGGGTTGTCATGCTTAAGAAGGGGCATAAGTCTTTGTAGAATCAGAGTCCAATTGAAGTACCCTGAGATGAGGCCTTGCAACTGCTCGTCTTTCATTTTTGACCCAACACAAATCTGCTGTTCTCTCACCAGTGTTATTGCTTGGTGTGGAGATGAGAATTGTCTTGAGTCATTCTGAGCATCTTAAGTTATTCTGATAGGCAAAGAATAAAAAATACAACACACGTGTTGCAGAGGTGGCAATTTGTAGGGTACTTTAACATTCTTTGGGAGGAATGGTGCTCCAGAAATGTAAAATATTATTAGTTCAGGTTTACTTAGGCTGCTGGATTGTGCTGGAATGTTGGACTAATCCCCGAGTTCCGTACCTGGCTCTGTCACTAACTCACTGTGTGATCATGGGCCAGTCATGTAAATTGTCCATGCCTCCATTTCCTCATCTGTAGAATAGGGATAATAATCCCTACCTAGCAAACAAGAAGAAATCCCACCTGTCCCCAAAATTTCCAGGGTCATCCCACTTTAAATAAGTGAAAATGTGCCAAGCTCCTTAATTATGGATCCTAATGTATCCTGAACACACCTACAAATTTGGAATGTTTAAAAAAATGTGTGACCCTGCATTTTATTATTCTGAATTCTTGTCATCAGGAGTGCTGAGTCATTAAGCCACATTTGGTGACATTTTTGCACTGTGGTTTGGTGGCACTTACCGTGATATGGCTATGCTTTACCCCAACATGGTGATGGTTCATTGGGATGTTTCTCCACAACAGTTCGTTGTGACTCTTTATCGTGACACAGTGACACTTCACTGTGATGTGGTGCCACTTTGCTATGATGCTTTCCTGTGGCCTGGTGATGCTCTGTTATGGCATTATGACCCTTTGGTGTGACATTTCTCCATGACACACTGCCATGATGGAGGGATGCATTGCTGTGAGGTGAATGCTTCTCCAGGACACTATGATACTTGGTGGTGACCCATTGCCATGACACAGTGACACATGACAGTGACCCATTACCATTCCACGTGGTGGTAACTGTTGCCATGATGCTTTGCCATGACACAGTGACTCTTGACAGTGACCTGTTACCATGACACTTAGTGGTGGACAGTTGCCATGACACAGTGACTCTTGGCAGTGATCCGTTACCACACCACTTGGTGGTAGCTGCTGCCATGATGCTTTGCCATGACACAGTGACACTTAGTGGTGACCTGCTACCATGACACTTTGCCTTGACACTTGGTGGTGATCGTTGCCGTGACACAGCGACACTTGACAGTAGGGTTGCCAACATTTCAAAAAAAAAGGGACTGTTTTCTTAGCACTCCTGCCCCACTCCTCCTCCCGACATTATCATCATCATTATTATTAATCAATCATCATCAGTAATAAGCAGTACTCACCTACATTCGCATGGGGTATTTCTTGCTGCTTTTTGCAGCACTCAAAAACTCCCGATCTTGTTCAGAGATGAAAAAATAAAGGACATCCTTGTAATAAGGGACTGGCGGCCACCTTAGTTGGCGGTGACCCACTGCCAAGGGGCTTTACATGTGGGGACTCAGCCGTGACAACTCAGGGCGATACCAGCGCAGTCTGCTGCCATGACGGTCAGGCGTTCACCTTCAGCCTCGTCCCGCCATTGGGCCCCCTGAGCCCCAATCCCCGGCGGAGGAAAGCGGGAGGGCCGGTTTGAGGCCGGAACACTGGTGTCTGCGGCTGCGGTTCCGGGGGGAAGGCTGGGGAGAACGGACCGAGTCCTCTTGGCTGAGCCGACGGGCTGAAGGGGCTGGTTACTCGCTGTTCCGGGACCCGCAGCACCAGCCGCAGCCCCAGCACCGGCAGGCACAGACCCCGCGCCCGTGAGTGACGGGGCGGGGGTCCGGGTCCCTCCTCCGCCGGCTACAGTCTCCCAGGCGGCGGCGGCGGCGGCTCCTTCAGGGGCAGACTCCCCTCCCCTGTTCGAGCGAGGGGTCAGGCCTCCTCAAGGGATGGCGGGGAGCCGGGGGCCCGGGCCGGGGGGCTGGGACTTGGGGGGGCGAGGTGCAGGGGGATGATGGGGGAGGTGCAGGGTCGGGGCTGGGGGGAGTAGTAGCGGGGAGAGTAGGGCGATGATGGGGGAGAGGTTCCAGGGGTGCGGGGCTGGGGGAGGAGCAGGGGACCTGGGGTGCAGGGTCGGGGCTGGGGGAAGGAGGAGCAGGGGCGGAGCGCGGTGCAGGCTGGCGGGGGGAGGAGATGGGTACAGGCTCGGAGCAGGGGGGGGAGGGAGCAGGGGACCTGGGGTGCAGGGTCGGGCCTCTGAGAGGGGTTGGGGGGAGGGGAGGGGCTTTCCATTTTCAACTGTAATACCTTAAAATTCCCAATGCATCCGTTTGCCCCACCCCCACCCCCCGACTGGTTGGGAATAGACAGTGGGTCACGCTGGAGCCTTGTATGTGTCTCTAGGGTACTGATGGTGTCTGAGTGCCCCTCCCATCCTGGGCACACCATACTGCCTTGCAAATGTGAACAAATTATCCAGCATCACGGTGAGATGAATACCTTATTTTGGGGAGAGTCTCAGAGGCACAGATGGCAGTTGGGGGCCCATTCATATTGGAAGTCAATACATTTAAGTTCTTAACTGCTGTTTGTGCCTTTGACATTCCCTCCCCTCCCCCAGTGTTACAGATGGGGAAACAGAGGCACAGAGATTTAAACCTTCTTATTGATATGGTATGAGGAGTGATGATGCACCTAGGGGCCTGATCCAGTATTTTTTTGGAGGTCGGGGGATACAGGGAATAATGTTGTTTAAGTTGCTTTTCTATATTTCAGCAACATTATTTGCTAGTTCTCTTGCCGACTTCTTTTCGTTTCATGTCGCGTCTTATGCATGACATGATGTAAAAGGAAGGCGTCATATCAGGAGGTGATAGAAAACCAGCTATGCTTATCCATGAAAACAGCAACATATTTCTACTATATAGCTATATCTGTGTATATCCTGGAGCTGGGGCCATTATGGGAGAGTAAAGAACACTATTAATTGAATGAAACAACAAACGGGACAAAGTATTACCTCGTGTTACTATCCCAGTGAGGACATTAAATCAGGGACATTGTAGCAAAATTGTACAGAAATTTCTTTTTTTATATATTTTGAGGAGATTAATTCTGACACAAACACAAAAGGACTGTGAAGAACCTAGCCTTAGTCCATTTACAAAATGCCTGCAGCATGCTGTGAACATCTTCTATTCACATTCCTGTAAACGGGTCAGGTGTGGACATGCCTGTTTATCTAAATGTATACAAGTGATTCGTGACATCCGATACTGTTAACTTTGTAATGGAATGATCTTTATAATTCCCTGAAGTCCCTTCCTGCATGTGAAAAGTGTTTCATGCGTGGCATCGGAGTTATGTGCTCTCTACACCCCTCAGGAATAGGTTCTAAATGATTTATTAGTCACATTTATTAACAAATAATAAATAGGTACTGATAATTTGAGAAGCCTGCAAAACTAAAAATAGCAAATCTAAACATCATCTTGATTAATCAACAACCTCACTAGGGCAAAATATTAAATTTTCCCTATGCGTTCATAATATATCATGTTGATGGACTATACATATGATTGTTTCTTGATCTTACCATATAAGATTTTTATAAATTAGGCTGCAAAAACAATATGTAAAGCTAAACCTTTAATATATACAGGAGTTAGGGAATTATTATTATTATGCCCATTGTACAATAAAAAGCTGAAGCACAGAGATTGTTCATAAAGGAAATCTATGACAGAGCAGAGAATTGAGTCCAGATCTCCTGAGTTCCTGTCTGGTGCCTTAACCACAAGACCATCTTTTTGAAGCTTTTTTCATATGCTGAGGATATCTGCTCTTGTAGGTGGTATAATTTACTGCTTTCCAGTCTCCTGGCAGTGTTGTGCATCTTAAATTGTTTTTGTTTGATTCTTAGGTGATATAGAATTAGAAAGTATTGTTATACTGCTCTCGCTTCTTGAGTTCAAATGTTAAAGGCTATTATGAAACACCACAATACAGAAGGGAGTATTTAGTGTTTCCGTAAAGTTTAGTTTATATATTGGCTTGATGTTCCTATTTTAAAAGAAACATGAACATTGCACTTCTTTTTTGTACCTACTATAGATTTTTTACCTACTAAGATTGAAAAGTTAGAGAGCATTTTAATAGATTTTTTTTTCATTTGCATATTTGACTGTGCTTTTTCTTAGTCAGTGTTATGGTCTCCCCTATCAGTCAGCTTCTTGCTTGCTGAAAAGACCTTAATGATTATTAAAAGGGGAACGGGGGGGGGGAGAGAGTAATAAAAAGAGGCTTCACATGTCGTTTAAAGGATGCTGTATCAGAAACCGGAGTTTCATTATATTAGTCATTTTTAAAAATAATCTAGTTGACAAATGTTCCTGTAAAAAGAGGCTGTATTCAGCATTAGAATTGGAAGTCTGACGAGTACAAAGTATGTAACTATTGCTTCTATGAAAAAGTAAATATACATTTAATAGAAGTGAAAGTGAGTTACAGTATCATGCAACTTCATCTATTTATTCTGTGGATATATGGCTTTGTTAGCATTCCTCTTACCTCTGGGACATACAGTTGTCCAGACCTAAACCTGATCATATATGTCAGTGCTGTACTGTTTAATGAGTGCCATCTTTTTCTCGTAAGTGTGTGAAGTATAAATATCTCCTGGCACTTTTTTGGAAGTGTAGAGAGAGAGACATCCCATTCCCCACCCCCTGGTGTCCTAGATAACCTTTCCTTCCTTGATAAAATTGTTTAGAGTGTCCAGTGTAGTATGCAGTTTACTGAGTGCATGATGGGTATCACATTTGCCTACACCATCACTGTGCTAAATGTATTAAACTCATTATTTGTAAGGTGCTTAACTTTTCTTCTGTCTTATTCTCTGCAACCCAACCATTTCTTAGCAAGATTGTAAATTTTGAAGCTGGATAAGGGCTTGAAGTCATACTATTTGGGTATGGTTAGTTATTCTTTGTATCATGGTGAAGAGCTAAAATAGGACATACTTTCACTTTTGTCATTCTTTCTTTTTCCTTAGGTCAGGTCTTGAAGTGTATGGTGCAGGCTTCTCTTCACGGTGCATGGACGGAAAGCCAATGCGCAGGTAAGGTGCAGAACAAGAAATGATTCTTCTCTGATCAAAATCTGACAATTGGTATTGAGTTGATTTTGTAAGTAGCTAGCCCATAACATGTTTATTTGAGGTGTGTATTCTAGAACTAAGAATATTTATTTTAATTGGCAAAACTAAACATCTGTTAACATGAATATGCTGTTTGAGAAAGGAAAGTATAGAAGATGTGTTGCCATAATCATCCATTTTAGAATAGTTCACTATGTTGCTGAAAAATGTACTTTGGACCACGTATTTTATGGTGTGATTATACCAATATTTCCTCATGAACCATCTAGCAGTATTTCTTAAACCTAATCGTGCTCCTGATGTGCATTAGTGTGACCTTTACTGTAGACTCCAGTTCTCTACAGGCTGAGGGGATTTGTCTCTTATTTGTGGATACTAATTGCATCTACTGTAATGGGCTGTGGACACATCTGCAATCTCTTCTTGTGTAATGCTGACATCAGCTATGTCAGAAACATACTCTGTCCTGCAAAGGAAAGAAGAATTGTGTTTGTTAAAAAGAGACATTGACCAGCCTGTTTGACATGAATTATATCTGCCCATTTTGATTATTTTAATACTGAGTGTGCCATAGTTATGCTTTATAGCAGATATGTTTCTGTATCTTTAAACAAACTGCCTACAAAAAGCCTATCTGTGTTTGCGTGGTTGAGAATCACTTTTCAAAGGTATTGGACAACCAACACTCATGAATGTCACCTAGCCTGATATGCTGGTTGAGTCCATTAGGTCAAAATATCTGTTGGAAGTGGGGAAAACTTATTAGATGCATGCTGATAATCACATAAACATTACAGGAGGAAAAGAGGTGGGATTTTAGCATAAGCCACATTGTAGAGGGATATTAATTACTGCGTTTGCAGAAACAAGTACTAACCTAAACTTGGTTGTGTAACAGGGTGGTAGGAATTGCATTGTGTAATAGCTCAGTAATGTCATTCTACAAACCCTTATTGAGTTAAATGAACCCCTCAATAAGCAGAAAAAGATTATCTAGGCTACTGGTTCAGTTAAGCTAATAAATGCATCCTGGGACGTGACACAAGTGTCATTGTAGCCATGTATCATTTTGCTGAGACAAGGAGACTGATTTAGGCTATGAAGGGACACAGTTGGCTGTCTGCTGTGAGGTGTTTTTTTTTCCTCAGAGGATGGACTGAATAATCTACCAGATATTTCTATCTTCTGCAGTGGGGGCTGTTTAAACAGTTTTTAGCAACCATAAGGACACATCTATTCTATTCAGGTTCTTATACTGCCCTCAACACTGTAATACCTGAATGCTTTCCCTAAGTATATAAAGCAGTGTGATAAGCATTTGCTATGTGTGGTTCTCTTCCCCCCTCCCTTTTTTTTTTTTTGTGCAAGGGGAAAAAATATGTGAGGTTTTTTAATTGATTCTGCATTTATTTTGGCTGCTGTGCTGTGTGACAAGGAATGGGAAGTGTTGAGGTTTGAAGTTGTTTTTAGATTCTGTGGAAGTTCATTTCTCAGCCTTAGCTCCGTCTCCTACACAGACAAGTTTACCCTGGCAATGGACAGTTCCATTGTGCCTGAG